GAAAACCTAGGTAACATTTTTGTATGAAGAAATTAATTGAAATATTCCTTCATTGATGAAAGTTTTGTATAAACGTAAGATGAATTTACTACGATAACATTTTATTGCTAGATACTTACAACTCGTGCATATATAAAGTTATGTATAACCATTTTCTCAGAATAAGAATAAACAGTAAATTTTATTTATTGTATATCTCCTTCAAACCTTGAATATGACACATCCACACTGAATTGGGTAGTTTCCAGGGTATCAAAATTAAAAATCTAGTTAGTCCGTCAGTTAGATATTGTAAGTAATAAGATATATAATAAGTTGTAGAACTTAGATAAAATGGCGCTAAGTTTAGAAGTGGAAGGTCGTTACGTCATAACGTGCTACAAAATGTGGCACGCTGTGACGTCACATTATATTTCAAATTAATGTATCGTCGAAAGTATTTAATTTTGTGAGAAAATAAAAAATACGTGTCTAAAGTTTTAAATTATTGCACCAGACGGACATTAACATAAAATTTAGGAAACTACCCTATTCAGGCTTCCAGCAATATTTAGAAATTGCTTTATAAGATTGGTTTTTCTATAAGAACGGGAATTAGAATCTAAAACAATAAGTCCTGGTTTTATTGCTCAAGTATTGGCAAGTACCAAATAATGTTCGTTAGACGGCCATTTTGAGACGACCATAAACCAAAGTTGATCTTGACAGACAATACAACGTTTATTGCAAACGATTTTAAATTTTACAAGTGCGTTGACCTATACATTTAATTTTGAATGTTTACTTTTTATTTTCAATTCTGAATGAAGTTTTTAAATTGCGTAGTTGTCATAAAATAGTGTATTAAGTTCTCTCTCATAGACATTATGGTTTATTTTTAATTAAACACAATATTATTAAAGACTAGTTTCACGGCTCTTACACAAAGTATCTGATTTTAAATAAAAGACTGATGACGTTCTTAGTTATTATATGTAAAATTATGTATAACATCATTCTTGTATATTTTCTGAACCCCCAAACAATACAGACTCACCGATGCATTCTAATTAAACATATCATTCATAAACGTCTAATATGAGCCACAGAAATATCCCACAAGCTAAATACATTGATAAATTTCGCGATACCATACATCAATTTGATGGAACACCCATCCAAAACTGGGTCAGTCTGCCCAATACTCCAGGATATATTTGGATTCCACGAACCATTTTAATCCCACCCAATAGTGAGATCTGATTTGAGAATAGGTACTCTTTGAGAGGTCAGTGATGACGTCATGAACGAACCTTTTGCCTTTGGGGGGGTTATTATATAAGTCTCGTATTACAGACTTGAAATGGAAAACTGACGATGGCAATGTTCTGAATTACATATTATTACTGGGATTCTTTCAAAGATATACTTCTATTACGGTTCTGTGTTGAAGAAATGGAAGGGTCAAAGTCGTTTGTTACATGTGTAAGTAAATTGAGAATGTCATGTGGAAATTGCGGATGTATTATCGTCATCTATTTTTTATAATAACCATCATGAGTGAATTTAGTATATCTAAATTAACTAAAAATCGCGGGTTACTCACATGAATATACTGAGAACGCGCAGCCTACTCAGTAGTAGTAGTAGTAGTACGACTACTAGTACTATAGAGTACTTGTATCTATAGAGTAACTTGTTAGTCCCTGAAAACTATACTTATTCCACACATAATCCATGCATAGTTGGCGTCGTGGTTGGGCAACTGGCAGTCGCACGACGTGAAGAGCATTCGATACCCACACGTAGCAACTCTTTATGTGATCCACAGATTGTTCTTTCGGGTCTGTGTGACATGGTGTATGTGAAATATTATGTTCGTAAACGCACCCACGACACAAAAGAAAATCCTAGTGTGGGACAATGTTTGTCTAAAAATAAATATTTCAGCAGTTAATTAGGCATATAAAATAATTCTGACCACCGCTAAAAGTTTATTCAACCTTTTTTTGTAAGGGTGGCAAATCAGAAAATAAAAACAGAACTTCTTTCTCAGTTGTGCTTAGAACCATTTCAGGACCCAATCTTGAGGCATCATACTTACAATACTGAAATTCTAAAATATTATTTAATTTAATACTATTTCAATTAAAATTTACTACCTAGGTATTGCCAGCAAAGACCCGAGTAATGTCGTTAAAATGCCTATAAAATTGCTTAGTAATTAATACACTTTAATTTACTTCTCCTTTTGGGGATAATTTTGTACATTTTATAACTCTAACCGATCATAGTTCCTTTTATTTTCCTTTAAAACAATAGAAAATTCGCGTGACTTTCAAAATAGCCAACAAGTTTTTGACCTCATAAAATCTTCAATAACTATTGTACAACACATTGGTGTATTGGTCAAAATACTAGTTAAACTACCAACACGAAATAGACTTTTATTGCAATTGAGACAAGGTGTATTTTATGTTTATCAAATGATACAAATATTTGATCAAATATGTGGTACCAATATCACGTATCGTACTAATGTAGCTACTGCAGAAACTCGTATTGTTAAGTTAATCGCAAAAAGCTCTTAAGTTTATCTCAGGCAAGGGACAGAAGATTTTGGTCCTTTGTTCCTTGAAGTAGGTCCTAATCGATTGATTTTTGCATCTAAACTTCCAACGTTTAGGGTCACAGAATAAATTATTTTGTGCCTAGGTTTAGGGAATTTACTGGCAACATAACATAACATCACGCCTTTTATCCCCGAAGGGGTAGGCAGAGGTGCACATTATACCACAATGTACAATGTAACACCCACTTTTCACTATTTATGTTATGAGTCCCATGTAAGGGGGTAAGCCTATTGTCATATACCGGGCACAATTCCAGACTCCGTGCTACTACTGAGAATATTTTAAAACCTAGTAATACTTAGCCCGACCCGGGAATCGAATCCGAGACCCCTTGCCCGACAGTCGCACTTACGACCACTCGGCCAACGAGGCAGTCAATACTATGTCAATAGGAATTCACTGGTAAGATTCTATTAAATCTGTTCACATATATAAAATGTATGTAACATTCTCCTAGCTTTTTCTTTCTATCTATGAACGATATTGTGTATATATTTAATACTTCGTAGCAACAGTAAAAATTAGTAAAACTATTTTAAGATGTATTCAAATACAATTCCACTTACTTCAGCATCCGTTTATGAACCAATTTCATTAAAGGACACCAACAAAAAATAACTCTAAAAAATTCTGGGTTAACGTTAAACCGATCAATCAATATTTACCGTGGTACAGATCAATTTAACTTTACAAAGATAAATTGGTAGCGTTAAGCGTAAAAAAAGTTCGATCTAAAACATCTTTCGTTCATCTTTGCGTCTCCCATCTATATCTAATCTCCGATTATATTTCGGGTTGACGGGTTAATCCGTACCTCGATTATGTCCAACGACTGAAGTTAATTACATCCGTCTAAGACGCCATTTACTCGTGATTATACGTCAAATTGATATTTCAGTGCAAACGTCTGTCATGAAGATGGATTAGCTCTTCATTTTACAGCTTTCGTGGTTCTGCTGTTTATTAGCATAATATTTACGAGGTTTTGTTTAGAAAAGGGATATGTCTTGATTTGTGAATAGAGGTAATATGTGGTGGTACTGGTGGTGACACTGCATTTTATCAAATTAATAAGTGTAAGCAGAAGTGTGTAAGGGAGATTCGCCATCCTCATCATTATGTTGAACAGTCTGTAACTGTACATTGTTGCATCATTAGATCATACATTAGAAGGTTTGTCATAATCTCCATGCTTTACAAGTGGGTTGGGCATTGGATGTCAATTTTATTATAATAAATTGGTATTATAAGTGTGGGAGAGCCATGCTTCGGCACGAATGGGCCGGCTCGACCGGAGAGATACCACGGCCGAGCAGAAAACCGACGTGAAACAACACTTGCGTGGTGTTTCATCGTGTGAATGAGGTTACCGGAGGCCCAATTACACCCCTCCCTAGTCCCCGTCTCCCGAATCTCCAAATCCTCCACAATCCTCAAATTCCCAACTCTCAAAAGGCTGGTAACGCACTTGTAACACCTTGGTGTTTCGAGTGTCTATGGGCGGCGCCGATTGCTTACCATCAGGTGATCCGTCTGCTCATTTACCGGCTCATGCTATAAAAAAAAATCATTCGAAAATGAGCCATAGTCTTAGTCTATATTACTATTACCTTTATAACCTAAAGTTGTCGTTATTTATTACGTATTATTTTAGTTCAACAAACTATATTAAAAATAAAGTTATAAAACTAAGGTCAAATTGTTTGGAAACTTTTGGTCTTTTCGCTCGTGGAGTTAGTAATGACAATATTTGCAATTAATCAGAAACCTATAAATCTTACAGAGTGTTATAAAAACTAAAACAGTCAGCTTTCATTACAATTTCCGAAAACTAAGACTAAATCGAATTCCTGCTCGTAAATACTTCGGAGAAATCTGGTTTATTGATGGTATTTGGAAAACGTATCTAGAGATTTTCTCAATAAAAAAGGTTTAGGTCCGAGAAATATTACAATTTTAATTATTTAATATGCATGCCAGTGTAGTATATCGTTTTTAGTTAATCATGTTACTAAACATCTGCTCGTTGCAAACGTTGAATATTTTTAACACAATAATATATCAGTCAGTAATTTTCTACTACTAACTATAATTAATAGAACAAATACAATAATTAACCACATATTCCTACTTTACCACACTCACTTCGAGTACGGTACATGTAAAGTACAAACACGTTGCGTTGGGACGCCTCATGTCTTCAGTTTTCAGCGGCAGAGCGATTCTGAAACCGTCCGCCGACTGAGCCGGACGGCCGCGCTACAAACGCGAACTCCCGAAAATAAATTGAAACTTTCAATGCATATAATAAACAATTCAGTGTAATTATATTATAAATTAGAAGTAATTATAATTAAATTTGACGTGTTTTTGTATTGTATATATTTTTGCCGGTGTTTGTGGTGTAGTGAAAAACTTTCGTGTATATAAATTAAGATTGAAAAAGTTGGGAAGCCGACGACATTGTAAGTAGTTCCTGTTGGTCCATACTGTGGAGTTTGATAAATTACTTTGGAAGAAGTCGTTAAAATGTACCCGGGCAGGGTATTTTCTTGGATTTTTAAAGAGATGTGAGATGTGGTTGTTTGATGAATTAATGTTGTTGAGTATGCAGTTTAGAAGATTTTGTTTATGGATTAGTTTTAAATGTATACCTAAAGTTCTTTAACAAATAGTGTTAGAGAAAATAGGTTTTGGCAGAGTTTGTTGTTTTAGTATAATAATTATTATAAAGTAGTTTAAAAATTTGTTTAATATTATTTAAATATTGCATTCAGTTGAAGTTGAAGTTGCTCTTTTGATAATTTATTCTTTCTTTAAAAAGTAATATAAATCGTTCAACTTAATGACATATCTCACTAATACCAATACTGCAATGCTCCCGTCATAACATCACGCCTTCTATCCCCGAAGGGGTAGGACATTATGACACTTAATACCACTGTACAATGTAACACCCAAATTTTCTCATTTCACACATACAAATTTTTAGGGTATGAGCATATACCGGGTACAATTCCAGACTCGGTGCTACTACTGAGAATTCTTAAAAAACCTGTAATACTTTCCTCGACCCGGGTATCGAACAACCCGAGACCCCTTGACCGACAGTGGCAATTTTAAACCTTTTTCTTTATTTAAAAAAATTGATTCATTCTTTATTTTAAAAACTATATCGATTAACTTAACAAAATTTTTTACCGATTCCAATGCTACCGAGGCCTTGAACAAAATCTTTTTAATCTCAAATACCAATAAAAATCCCAAAATACCTACACCTCAATATCAGCCTTCGATCAAACAGTTTCGTAACAAAAATGTCGGTAAAGGGGAATTTTATTGACGTGACAAAAGAACCCTTCCTGTCTTGTACACAATCATAACTTCCAAGCCTTTGTTTAGTTTATACGAAATCATTTATTCACTAGCCTCACGATAAATGTCATTTTTATTGTGAGAAAGGGAATGGCGTAAATTTTTATTGATTTGTTTTTTTAGGGTGATCGATTGTTATTTATATGTTACTAGCAATCCGCCCCGGCATCACACGGGTGCAATATGGATGTATTATACATATGAACCTAAATTAAGAATCACTCTATCTATTAAAAAACTGCATATAAATCTGTTGAGTAGTTTTAAAGATCTAAGCATACATAGGGACAGACAGACGGCAGATAGCGACTTTGTTTTATACTATGTAGTGATAAGTGAACTGTATTTTATGTTAGTATAATAGAAAAGTTGAACTCAAACTCAAAAGAATTTATTTCAACTAAAACATTTAACCATTAAACCAATAATTAATATGGTACTTTTGAAACATCAACAAATATAATATAAATTATAATCTGCCAGTCTGATCGCCAGTGAAGCTGGGTGCTCGTTCCAAAAAGTAGATTCAAGTGGAGAAGAACGAGCAAGAAACCCCATTTGTAATGTACTCTTTTAAAAAATATAATGTTTTACAATCTTTAGTATGTTGACGTATTGGATAGTATTTTTTTTTTTTTTTAAATCAATTATATTTCATTTTAACAGGACAGTGGCTTATCTTACATTAGATAAAATATTATATGTACTATTATATAATACTTTTTAATAAGTGCACCTGAGTTTGATAAAATTTCGAGACAAAGATGGTATCACAGTTTTTTTTTTATATTTCATGGGCCGACGTCTGACCACTATCTCGCCTGGTGGTAAGCGATGATGCAGTCTACGATGGTGCACGTCGACCCATAAGCAACCTATTCACTCGAGCTTTGAAGACATCCAGATTATACCCTTCAGGAAATATAGGCTCTGGGAAAGAATTCACTCCTTAGGAGTACGCACAAGGAATTTTTATTACTTTATTGGTTTAGTAGTAGGAAGTGCAATATCTAAACGAGATATTTCCGTAATAATTTGACGAGGAACTCGACTAGTTTCTTCTTTTATATTATATTGCTAGCATGGCTTGAAACTAGTCGATTTCCTCGTCAAATTATTACGTGAGTGAGCCGAAAACATAATAATTTATTTAGTTTGTCTCACGAAAGTTACAATACAGAGATATTTCCGATTAAATACCCAGTCTTAGTCTCCCGGTCCGGTTACTACTAGACATACTAGGCGATATTAATAGGATATTTTCAAATATAATGTAGTTTACTAACATATAAATTATCCTTAGACACATCCACGCCCCTTTCGCAATATCGTATGCGATAACAGCATACATAAAGGTATTGAATTCTAATGAGACTCTTACTTTATCGTGTCTAGAGAGTAAACTTATACTATATACTTAGGTACATAATTATATTCACTTAGTTCGCTTACTCAAGTAAGTGAAGTAGTTATTTGACTTAATGTCTTGTATGGATTAGGAGGCAAACGAGCAGACGGATCACTTGATGGTAAGCCGCCCATGCACACCCGCAACCCCAGCGGAGTCACATGCTTTGTACTCATCAAATAGGCATTAGAAAGAAAGAAGATAAAAATAAAATAATAATTGGGTTTTTAAAAAAATCTTGTGTTAGCACGTAATCTAGAATTGTGCCCGGTATATGGCAATAGGATCACGCCCTATTACATGGGACTCATAACATAAAAATAGTGAAAAGTGGGTGTTACATTGTACAGTGGCATAATGTTATGTTAAGATAAATACAAACTTATCTTCTTGACTTGCTTGACTTGCTTCCTTAACTACTATTTGAATTTTAATACAACTTCAAAATATTCAAAAGTTTTCTATTCGAATCAAGGCTCGGATTTGAAACCTTTTTTTCGGAATTCTTGTGGCTACCCAACTAATGATGAAGTACATCATCAAATAAGAAGATACAAGCGTCTTTTAGGAAAATATTTTCTAGATTTTCTAGAAAAGTCGCTAGGATATTCTTGGTCTTCTAGACCGGATATATTATTTGCAAATATATGTTGAATAGGTAGAGTATACGCACTACATACTAGTATACCTACAATGTTAACATGTGGTAGAATTCGGTAAAAAACATTTCGTTGTATTTTGTAAGGTCATCGACATAACATAGAGATTTTATTTGGGTAATAGTGAAGTATTCTTTCTTTTCTCTGTGTATTTTACAACAATGTAATTCAATGACAAAATTAATTCACTATGTATTATTTAGATTTACAATTTATACGATTCGATTCAAACATCACAATACATAAATAAAATCTAATTAATAAAAATAAAGAAACTTGATTAAAATAATTGCCAACAAAATAGGTCGTGTAAATATGCGGTTTGGAAATCCAAACCTGAAATAAAATGAGGTTTTGATTTCCAAACCTCATTTTAAACCAGATCAACAGCCTAATATTTTAAAATTATGACTGAACATAATACGATTGTGACCAACGATACACTGTATTAAATCAGACCGTCAAATAATAAACTACAATGTTAATACCACCGCGTTTCCTGCAAACAATCACTGTAGTTGAACCAACAGACTTTATAGGTAGTATTTTGGAAATACGCCATCTCAGATAAAAATCTATGTTCATGCAAAAATAAGTCTTGAGTTTCCGAAATAGACTGTAATTTTGAGGAGTTCGTAATGTTAATATCTAGTCGTGATAAAAATAGGTTTTATGTTAAGATAGGTATAAGAATAGGGTCAGGTTTTTGAGTTTGAATACGTCATTCGAAGACTGATAAAACTACAAAAGTACTGGCCTAATGTACATACATATACTAAATAGTTCTTGATGGATTCATGTTATATAATGTGTTAAGACTCGCGTTCAAAAAAATGCTTGTATAAAAAATCCTAGCAAGGTGTGATATGTGAAAAAAAAAATACAATTTTATTATACATGTAATTTGATCAAAACTGATAGGAATAGGAATAGGAATCAGAAGAATTCGATATTTCCAGTTTGGACTATGTTCAAGTGTGGGAGAGCCATGCTTCGGCACGAATGGCCCGGCTCGACGCGAGTGATACCACGACCTCACAGAAAACCGACGTGAAACAACGATTGCGTTATGTTCTGTCGTGTGACTCAGGTTACCGGAGGCCCAATGACCACCCTCCGCAATCTCCCCAACAATTCTCAAATTCCTCATCCCCAAAAGGCCGGTAACGAATTTGTAACACCTCTGGTGTTTCCTATGTCCATGGGTGGCGCCGATTGCTTACTATCAGGTGATCCGTCTGCTAGTTTACCGGTTTATTCCAAAAAAAAAACTAACCTTCCACACTTTTCATATCAGGAAATCCATTACCTACCTACATGATACATCTTTACATATTCTCATTTCGGCCACCGATATACTATGCTAAATGAAAAAAGTATAAAGTTTCAAACATGAACCCTATTACCCTGGCACATAGTAACAAAGTTAATTAACTTGTTTGAATATTTTCGCCAAATAGGGAGCGGTCTTAGAAAATTTCTCTAAAGTACGGTAAAGAGACTTCAACAACGTTGAACTAAATATTGTTCTCTCACATAATTGACTTGAACAATGTTAGTGAATTACTCGGTTCTTCTCATTAAAATATAGGTCCTTTAATACACCAATATTATGAAGTGTCGAATGTTCTGAAATACATATAAATAAGGAATATGGTATATATAGTGGTATGTATAGTGTATGATACCACCGGAGTGATACCACGGCCTCACAGAAAACTGACGTGAACCAACGCTTGCGTTGTGTTTCGTCGTGTAGGTGAGGTTACCGGAGGCCCAATTACCCTGCCCTTCCCCAATCTCCCCAATCCCTGAATCCCCGACGATCCTCAAACTCCTAATCCCCAAAAAGCCGGTAATGCACTTGTAACGCCTCTGGTGTTCCAGGTGTTCATGGGCGATGTCGATTGCTTACCATCAGGTGATCCGTCTGCTAGTTTACCGGCTTATGCCATAAAAAAAATGGTAGACACCTATAGATATAGTTAATATCCAATTCCTTACTTTAACTACACTCAGATTC